TTCTTCTTTTTTTTCTGAGATGTTAAGGTTAGTCAATTTTTTTTGTTAATCTGTTGTTCGGGTTGAGATGAGATTTTAATTGTCGGAGCGATGTTGTGTTTGGGGAATAAGTAGTGGTTACATGGATTTTTTTTGGAAGTTTTGTTTATGAATTAATTCTTGGTGTGCTTGAGCGATAGGGGAAAACAACCCATCTCACGCTGGCCGCCGTCCATTTCGTTCTGGTGAGCTCCTCTCGGAGAGTTTTCGTCGGCGCTTCCGCCCCCCCCCGCGGGTGCCACGGTCCAGGGGTGGAATTTTGGATGTCGGTTCTCTCGGCGCCTTAGGAGGAATTTTCTCCTTAGCGCCCCCCTGCTGTCGCAAACGAGATCAGAAACTCAGCATCTCCTTTCTCTGTGGGGTCTTCGTCCCCCCTTGTTGCTTCTTGTTTGTTACTTTTCTCGCGTTGGTGCTCGATGCTAATTTTTTTTCTAGACGCAATAGCCTTTCTTTCGTAATATTTAGTATTGTTGTTTTAGATATTGAGTTGATAATTTTTTTTTGGTTTGAAAATGCTGAAGATCAGGTTTGAAGTTTTTTTTCTTTTACTAATTGTTGAATGAGTTAGATAAGTTGAGTTAAGGATTTTGTGGAATATTTGAGAAAGTTATTCGAAGGAGATAGATAAATTTTAATTTGATGAATTTGTTGAATAATTGGGAAAGTTTTCTTTATGGAGATAGATAAGTTTGCGTTCAAAAGTATGTGGAAAATTCGAGAGTTGTTTGATATGGAAATGGGAAATTGAGTTGTAATAATTATACGGTATATTTGAGAAAGTTGTTTTGATGTAGAGAAGGTAATTTGAGTTAAGGATTTTGTACGATTTCGAGTAAATAAGTTGATGAACATAGATAAGTTGAATTAATGATTGTGTGGTATATTTAAGAATGTTTTGAGATGAATCTAGGAAAGTTCGAGTTGAGGATTATGTGAGATTTTGTGTAAATAAGCTGATGAGCAAAGATGCGTTTTAGTTATTGGTACTGTGGAGAAGTCGATTAACTTAAGTTTAGTTAAGTGTTATTGAGGTATAAGACATGAATGATCTGAGGTAAAGGCATTGTTGATTGATTGAGGAATCACTTTAAGGTTACTAGTATTATAGAATGATATTTGAGTTATTAATTCGATGATTTTCGATGAATTGAGTTAGCGGTATTGTTGTAAATTGAGGATCTTGTTTTTTTGTACATTTGTCGCGCGTATAGTGAAACATTTTGAGTTTTTTTTTTATTATCTAGAATTGATACATTAAATTACATAGAATGTTAAAAAGTTATGTTGATTAGTTAAGTGAAATTTTTTTGGGAATTATGTTTAATTATGTGTATCACTTGTAATAATTTTTTTTTGTTTTAGTTAAATTACTTTACTCTGTATGTGTCGTCTCATATGTCATGGGTTGCATTATCAATTTTATGTTTATAATTTTTTTTCTGAAACTTTCAACTGCATTTGTGATTTCTGGAATTCATTTCTCAAGTGGAAATTCGAATGTATTGAATGTCGAAGAAATTGTTCTTTTTTTCTCCTCTAAAAATTTTTTTTTATATAGTATTAATCGATACAGAGTATTTTTTTTGATAATCGGATTTGCAATTTTTTTGTCTTGATATTCATTCTGTTTCTTGTGCTGGCGTTTGCGGCATGCAGCAAATCGTTTGCGCAGGGAATGGAATGTGCAAAATTTTTTTTGCCTTTGTAAACGTTGGGGGTGAATCCTGATCAAATGCACACTCATGGTTTGCAATTCTAAATTTAATTACATTTTTTTTCTCTTCAATTCAATTGTAACCAATGCTTGTAGTGAATTTTTTTTAAAATTTCTTAGGCTATTAAGCATTCTTAGAGGTTATAAATTCTTTTTACCGTTTACACTATTCCTTTCAATCTATAGATTTTAATTTGCAAATCTGAATTTAATTACATTTAATTTTTTTAAACTTTCAATTGTAACCAATGCTTGTAGTGAATTTTTTAAATTTCTCAGACTATTAAGTATTCTCGGAGGTTGTATATATATATTTTTTCACCTATGCACACCCATTTCTTCAATTTCTAATTTTTCACTTTAAATTAATTATTTTTACGAAAGATTGCTATCGATGCTCTTAGTGAACCATTGCAATTTCTTATGCTTTGAGTACTGTTGAAGGTTAAAATCGTAATTTTGTTTGGTGGTCCGAGGCATGCACATCATATTAGTCGTGTCAGGATTTCGATGTTATACGATTATGAGGTGTCTGTTTCTTGGTGCCACGTTTGTATTGATTATATATGTTTTCACTAGTACTTATTTCTTATCACAAAGTATTTTGTTCGAGGCGCATATGTGTGGTTATTGTGAGTAGCTAAGCTGTTATATATGCAATTTTTGATTTTATTATGTGTTACTCGTCTTAATTTTTTTATTATTTAGTGGCACATGATTCTTTGTGATTATTCAATTATTTCTATTTGTTATTTTATATATGTTGTCCTTGTGAATTGTTTAGTGACCCATATCTCATTCGATAATTATTTGTTTGGAACATGAATTTAATTGTAGTTGTTAGTAGTTGAATTTTTTTTCTTTTTCTCTCTCCTTTCGCAACGTTTAAGGAATTAGGATTAACATGCAATTTTCTTGTTGGTTGTTTTTTTTGTGTGTGCGCAAATTTTTTTGTTTAAAGAAAAAAAAAATTTTTTTAGACAATGCTTCTTGAATTTTTTTTATTTTGAGTGATTGGAGGACGAGATGGGAACCTCAGGTATCCGAAAGCCCTGTGGAAGAGTGGGAAAATTTGTTCTCCCTATTTTACATACTTTACTGATGCTGGCTCTCCTACGAGAGTGTTCGTGTTTTTTTTCTGTTTCAGGACATTATGCCATCGTGACTTCCTGTGCATTGGGTCTATATTGCTCCACGAGATAGTATCCTACAAAATGTTGAGACTGTGACTCACTGTTTCACCTGGCCTTTGCACCACTGGAGGCACCCCCGCGGGATTCAGACCCACCGGTTCTTCATTTCAAAAGAGATTTACTGCATAGAACAACTACGTCTCTATAATGCTGAGGACTGTGACGTTATGCTTCAGTGGACAGTCGTTCTTGACCAGGAGTTTGATGATGGACGACGAGACTGTTGAACTGTTGTCATGATTGCAATCACATAATTACATGTTACGCTATGCTTCACCCAGCCTCAGGAGTCTTCATTAACATTGGATGTTTCAGTTATCATTCTTCAAGAAGTGACATTCGTTCTTGACCAGGAGTTTGACGAGGGACGACGGGACTGCTTGAACTATTGTCGCTATTGCATTTATATAATATTTACATTTTCATGAATGATTTTTTTGTGTGTTTCTTTATTTCTAGTTTTGTTAATCTGAAAGAGGGGAGGAGTGATGGGAGGCCGCCGGCCCCTGAGATACAGTTGTAATTTTTGCATTTGCCCTGTTTACAGGAAATAGCTATTACACAGGAATGTGGGTGCGTCGGGTTCAACGGACCTGATGGCCGGCAAGGTTGTGTCCTTACGCGGACAGTGGAATCCAATCAGGGTAGTAGATTGGACGGTAATGAATCCGTAGCGGATTCTTTTCGAAGTGATCTGGGCGGCTTTAAAAGCTGGTTCGAAAGAATTCTCGGGGCTTTTTCCCTCTTACGTCTGCCAGAAAAAACCTCCAGTCGGGAAGCGAACTCGCTACCCTAGGTCACCCCTCCGTCACTCCTATTCTCATCAGATAAGTACCACCCTTGTAATATTTAACGTTTCTTTTACCAATATGTTAATCAATAAATATAATTGTTACCACTATACGATCGGACTGTTAATTTAGTGTAATGTTAATTTGTCAATAGAGAGAAACTTAACTAATTTTAACTTAAGTCATGATGCGATGTTAAATTAAGAATCTGGGTGTAGAACAGATAAATTAAATGAACACTCTATGGGCATCGCATTAGTACTCACGTAAGAGGTTATACTTCTTTGGCGTAACAAGATTAAAATATTTCAAAAAATCTCGAGCAGGGCATGCTGGACCAAGGACGAAAGGTGGTCACGAGCAGAGTTGAACGATACTAACCTTCAGTCAATCAGACCACACACAGCCAAACCCGAGATAATCTCGATTTAAATAAATTTAAACACCCCTGCACAGGGACAATAGGACTAATAACATGTAGGATTTTTGGCAGACTGTATCTGTAGATGAGTTGAACTGAATGTGACACCTGAGACCTCACATTGAATGTCTCGGCGGGAAGAATCGTTCCTGAGAAATTTAAGACATCCGCCTGAAGAGCCCGAGTTATGGTCATTTTAAAATAATTAAAACATTTAAAACAATTAAATAAAATAGAAGCAAGACACCCATCAACTCAAAACTGTGCCTGGTTGTGAGGAAACACAAAAGGAATCCATTCGAACCGGTCTGGAGTCTGTAGTTGCAAATGGGGTGGTGCTAGCTCGGGAAAGGAAAACGAAACTAACTCCCGGGAGGGGAACCACTGTGACGTAAATGGTCACGTACATCCCAACGATACAAAGAGTAGTAGGTGATCCCAAAGTTTCATCCTTCTATCTTTGTAATATCGTGACGTCATCGAAAGATCGAACCTCATGGAAATAACGCCCCCTCAGGCCCACTATGTAATAAATATGTTTATGTTCATCGCAATGCGTTCGTAGTAAATACATCTATAATTATGTACTTGCAATTATTATTTAAATAGGTAAACTAATATTTACTCTTATGTTTTATGTACATGAAACATATAAATTAAATATTAATTTACTAATTTTTTTTTAAAATTTCCTGTAAGTATGTTTGGTTTATAATAACAAAAAGTGTTCAAAAAATGCATCGGAGGAGTTCCGTAGGCGAAGGACGAACTCTCCCTACTAGTAGTGTCGTCACAAATCAACATTAACGCAAAGCAAAGGTTCGCTGACACGGAAGGGGGTGGGGTATAACTCAGTGATAGAATTCGACTGCACATCGAGAGGTCCCCGGTTCAAACCCGGGTGGCCCCTTCTTCAGGGAAGTGAAGGAAAATATTTTTTTTTTGAGAATTTCGAAGGGGGAATGATCTGTCCTCCATTCTGTATATTTCTAGACAAAGCATTTCCGCATCCGTGACGGTTTTGCGTCACATCCGTGACAGTGTGCGCGTGCATCGTAAAAATTTACCCTCATCCTTCTTCCCTAACGCCCAAAAAGAAGTATAGCTTCAAAAATATTCGATATAATATTCTTAAATATAGATATTATTCTTGCACTTTTGCTTCGTCTAAATGCATGTTAATTTTTCCCCCTATGTTTTTGGACAAATATCGAGAACAAATGTGTTTGCTTGAAATAGTTCATTGATAGTGGCAATTTTGGACAATATTGCTAACTATACTATTAAAAAATGATTGACATTTCTTGTATTGAATCCAATAAATTGTTAGTTTCAGATATATTGCTGTATAATCCTTTACATTAATGAAATCTTCTAGGTTACGAGTTATTACGAGTTTGTTCAAGCTGTGCATACACTGATTTAACCGAATCTATTTTCGATTCCCAACGGGTATCACAAGATTGTCTTAGAGTAATGCTTAAATGCTTTTGTAGAATTTCCCATCTTTGTAGATGCAGAAAATAAGCTTAGAAATATCTACTCCCGATTTCTATAGTACACTGGCCTCAAAAAGTTAAGCTACAACCGGGTTTTTGTTTCTAATTTGCAAATGAATGAATGTAGAAACAAAAAATTTGGAGGATATGTGCATTAAATAGTTTTTTATTGAATGTGTCATAGAAATTTGTATAAGTGTATTGCAAAAACGATTTATAACAAAAAAAGCAATCTCTGCGGAAAAGTCCATTCTTGGAGAAAACAGCACATCACAGTGTTATGTGGTAAAATGGCATAAAAACAATACAAAAATGGGTTCTAATAAAGAATGTGTCCACCCCTAACTTGAATGCATTGGCGGCATCGATTTCCCATGCTGTTTATTAAGTTGTCGGACACCGGAATAGGAAGCAAAGACCAGACACAGAGTAAGCCTTGTTTCAGCTCATGTAACGACCTTGGAGGAGGATTTAAAGCAGCAACCTCTCTGCCAAGATAGTCCCAAAGATGTTCTATCGGATTCAGGTCTGGAGATCGAGCTGGCCATTCCATTCGTTCCAAACCGTGATCCTCCAGATACTCCTCAACAATCCGAGCTCGGTGAGGTCGTGCATTATCATCCATCAGAATGAAGTCGTTACCAATAGCAGCAGCATATGGGCGGACATATGGATCAAGGATCTCATCCCGATATCTAAGACCAGTTACGGTTCCTCCATGGAACACATGCAGGTCAGTGTGGCCACCGAGCGAGATCCCTGCCCAAACCAGGATTCCACCACCTCTATAACTGTGTCTTTCAACAGTGTTGGATTGATGGTATCTAGTGCGCTGTTCCCTCCAGATCAGTAGACGCCCTGAATCACTCTCCATTGTAAATCTGGACTCGTCTGTGAACAGCACAGAAGCCCATTGTTGCTGCGTCCAAGAAACATGTTCTCTTGCCCAGCATAAGCGGTTCCTTCGCTGTCGTCCGTTGAGGGGAACGCACACAACTGGTCTTCTTGCATACAGACCTGCATTGTGAAGACGATTTCGCACCGTAGTAGCGGAGATTCTTCTTCCTGATGCTTGAAAGTGGTCTGCAACGAGCTGCGGCACAGTAGTGGTTCTTCTCCTTCGTGCCGAAAGAGCTAGAAAACGGTCTTCTGCAGGTGTTGTAGCTCGTGGTCGGCCTGGAACAGGTCTTCTGGACACAGAATCTTCGGATTGGTATTGATCCCAAAGTCGCTGAACAACACTACGAGACACATTAAGACGTCTAGCAGCATCAGCCTGCGACAATCCCATTTCCATCCATCTAACTGCCCGCCACCTTAACGAATTGGGTAAACGACGTCTCAGACATTTTCTAAACTCTATTGACTATTGTCACCGAAACTGCCAACAACTGTTGAAAATCAACACAACTTACACACAAAAGTACGAAAGCTTGATATTTGCATATTTTTCTCTCACTCTTAAATATACGTTCCTTTCTATAAAATAAAAGTGGTAGCAATCGTTTTTGCATTAATGTTTTTAAAGTTCGTTATTATCATTCAAGTAAACTATGCATTTTATTGTTACTGCCATTTTTTTTATGGTGAGCTTCGAAAAACATGTTGTACCTTAACTTTTTGAGGCCAGTGTACATATTACTGGATGTGACATCACAAACTAAAAAATTAAAAGATGATAGCAATGTGATAGGTTTAGAGCAATTATTCTAGATCTTACACCTTTATATTTCCGTTTCATATTGCTACCCTTTAGTCCCATGCCGACAATTCATATCTAATTCTAACTCCCTTAACCTTTTCACTAGTTTTTGCTATGCCTGTTGGCCGCGGTAGCTTAGTGGTTATGGTCACGAGCTCGTGGTTGGAGTGTCGTGGGCTCTAGTCCAGTTGCCATAAAAGACACGCTGTGTAGATGAGGCCATTCCTCCTGCTGATGTGGTAGTTAGGAAAGAGGGGTGCCAGCTCAGGTGTCCTCCTCGTCACTCGACCGAGGCTCAAAATTACGAGGTTTGTGATCAATAGCCCTCTTGTTGCTTTGCAGAGCAACGTTAAACATCAAATGACAATGCCGGATTTTTCACCCACTAAGAAAGTATACACTCCACAACAGTGGTCTTCAAACTGTGTTCCACGGAACCCTGGAGTTCCACGATATATGCCCAGGGGTTCCACGAGTCACAGTAAATAAATCGAAACAAAAATTATAAATGTGTATGCAAAATGGATTCCCGTTCTCTATGAAGTTTGTATCCCCACAAGAATTTAAAGTTCGTTCCTGTCATTAAGAAACTGAAAATTTTATTTCAACATAACTTTATTTTGCAATACTTTTTAAACTTTTATTATAATATAATAAAATATATGTATTAAAATGTGTTTTATTTTTATATACAGTTGAACCTGTTTTTGTGCGGTCTTTTTTATGCGATTTCCTTTTTGTGCGATTTTATTTTTTAACGATTTTTACTGTGCGATATCTTTTATGCGGTGTACGAATTTCAATAGCTTTGACGCCACTGTTGTGTTTTCTATCTAATTACTAATGGCGTAACGGAGAATGTTAGGACCCCCCTGAAAGTTAGGTTTCGCCTTTAATATTTTATAAATTGGGTAAATACGTATTTAGCGTTAGTCAAGCCTTGGTGTTGCGAATGGCATCGCCTTTCAAACCAATCAGCGTCAAGCAAATGACGCAATAATGTTGCTGCTCTGTTCTTGCTCTTGATATACAAAAACTTCGCTATGTAATGTTGTGTATTGTGTTTGCGCCATTAAATGCCTTGTGTGTCAAATCCTAGTCTATTCAGTATTTTTTAGAAGAGTTAAACCAAAACCAGACATTGGGTAGATGTCAGCCCTGCAATAAGTAATAAGGAATCGTGTAGCGGTGAGTTCACGTTTTACCTTGGGCTTGGAGATGCACGTTACGCCACTGAAATGTAGACACTTTAAGACGCTCTGCTCATTTGTTATGAACAGTCTCCCGACAATGCGCATTCAGTTGCTTTCTCTCAACGCTCCAGCAGCCCGCGCATGATTGAAGACGAAACTTTCAATGATAGTGACATTATGAATAATTTGATAAATTACGAAGACGGAGTAGAAGTCAGATTCTTTGAGAGCGGATAAAAATATGCAGGGATCCAGCCTTCCAACAAATTGGAAAAGCATTTTCTTAAATTAGATACCAGTTAAGAAAGAATTATAAAATTCCAAAAAAAAGCTTTAACCCTCCAATTGGACAGAACGGTTTTTTCCACCCTACTAGAGAGGCTTCGAAAACGGACCACATTGACTTTTTCCTAAGGCCGGGGACTCACCAAAAATGAACCAAACAGACTTTTTCCCCTTCAAGTAATGTGTTCAAAACCGGTAAGGTGGTATTTTTCCGAATTCTTTTCCCCCTTTAAAGGTTTACGATCTTGAAAGATAATTAGAGACGCGGTCAGGGATACACAATGGGCATTGAGGGGGAACTTTTTTATGGGTCACAGAGAGACCGGTTAAGCAATCGTAAAATCTCCGAAGAATTTCTTTAAACCCTAAAGTGTACGGAAATAAATTGCAAGTCAACATGTTGAGTATTCCCTTGTTTTGTATTGCTCAGATAACAAATTATATTTGAATTTTGAATGTTTGAACATTAATTTCATTCAAAGAGAACTTCTCAAGTTTATATTTTTTTAACTTGAATCTTCAAATAAAGAGTATTTAAAAGCATCTGGACAAATTTACAGTTAACATTTGCGCATATAAATAAATATAAAGATCCTTTTTAAATTCAAGTTAAAAAATATATATTTATGCATAATCCCTCATCATTCATGTTCCATTAGTGGTTGACTGAAGAAAAGGTTATTAAAATTTGGACATTTTTATAATCTTAACCATGCAAAACTAGGAATTTTGTATTAGCTCCACTAAAATTCTGCATTGAAATTTCGAAAAAGATATTTATGCGTGTCTCACATACTCAGTTGAAAAAAACATATATTTATCATAAATACTAATAATTCTTTGGATATTTAAAATTATCATTAGATTAATTTTTTAATATATATATATATATTCGACTTCTAATATTTTTTCAAGTATTCCTTAAATTTCATATAATTTAATTAAGTGAAGGGATATTAAAGGCGCACTTTCTCTCTTTTCTACTCAACTACTTGAGGGCTTTTGGCGACGGACTTGTGGCCGAATCATGGTTGGCATGTCTCGAGTTCGAGCCCAGTGCCACAAAAGACCCGCCGTGTAGGGCAGCGATGCACGTTAAATCTATCGAGAGCTGAAATGTCCTTTCGTTGGTGTGGTAGTTAGGAGAGGGGGTGCCAGCTCAGGTGTCGCCCTCGTCATTTGACCATTTTTCAAAATTACGAGGTCCATCACTAAAAGCCCTCGTGTAGCT